GTGCCCCATCCTGCCTCAGTGTCTCCACCTTGGCAGTGGACTAATGGGGCCTATTCTTTCCTAGCAACATGGAGGCTCTCCAGTCCAGAGAGAGATGAGGGGCTACTCAGTGCCCCAGAGCTCAGAGGGCTAGCACATGTAGAGGATGGGTGCCCAAAGGTGGTAAGGAGGGGACTCAGACTCACCCGATGACGTAGACCAGGACGACCAACTGGATCAGACGGAAAATGATTCCCACCTTCTTGTTTCGCACCAGCACCATCCGGGGAGTGTCATATTCAAAAAAGAAGGCTGACAGCTCATCCTGCAGCCGCCGTGCCATGGTGGGCCAGGGGGGGTTCAGAAATGAGCCCCCACACGGCTCTGTGGTCAAGGGCAGGCCAGCATCTGCACCCACAACTGTAGCAGTGGAGTGACTGGAGACTTCTCAGCCCCTTAAGAGCAGAGCAGGACGGGTGGGACTGGAGGCCAGGAGGCAGGGGTTCGTTGACAGGGTCTGGGTTGGGAGGGAAAACCCTGGGTGACCAGAACAGCTTTTGGCTGCTGGCAGGCAGTGGAGTTCAGGCCAGTGGTGCCCGTGAAATAAATTCCCAAAGATAGACAGAGGCGGAGCCAGTGGGGCCACCCAGGCCCAGCCCCACAACCCCTCTAGGCTCCGCCTGGGCCTCCAGAAACAGAAGCTGCTGGCCGGAAACCACCATGGCCACCAGTCACAGGGGCAGAGATAAAGCTACTGGCTACCCCCACTCCAAGAACCTGACAAGACAGAACTGGGGGGTCTGGCCAGGACTTGGGGTGAGATCCCGGAGAGCCCCATCTCCATCCTTACACCTGTAGTCTCAGAATGGGCAACTCAGTCCTGGGGACCTGTGGGAAGATGGGCAGAAATGGAATCAGGTCCTGTAGACTAAAACTGCCCTTGAGCACCCCCTGTCCACCAGTCCCTTCAAACCCAAGTCTGGCTTATAACTGTTAACTTCAGCATCAGGCTGGCATCTCTATCCTCCTCTGACCTGCTTGACTGTACCCCCTGACACCACCCCTGTCTTATCCCCGCCACCAGAAGGGACAGGAAGGTAGACATCTAGGGTCCCTTATCCTTATGAAGCCTTAAGACCCAGCCAGGAAAGCCTAATATTAGGCGGTTTTGCCACTGTTGAGGGCTTGGGGACATTGTCTGGCCTGTCTAAGTCTTCTTCCTGTAAGGTGAGACAATGTGACACTTTCCTCAGAGAGAAGTCCTTAGGGGATGGGTCCCAGCAACATCAGGGACAGAGAATTGAAGCCACTGTTTAGTTAAGAGTTCAGGTCCAGTGCAACCTTTGCCTTCCTCAGTAGTAACCCAGACCCTGAGCATGGGGGGTCCCAAGACCCTCATATTGTACCACTAGGGTCAGAGGGGAACAATCTTACTCTGGGCCTATGAGAAGAACCAGCTTGAAACGCAGGCCTCCTTGGTAGCCTTCACTGCCCTGCACCCCAGGCCAAGCTGACCCACCCTAAGTACTGATAAGCAATCTCTTCTTCCTCATAAGCCACTTGCAGGGAGCAAATGGCCCTGGGCAGAGCACCAAGCTCCTGTGCAAGAAGGGATGCTTTCTGGATGTCCTGTCCAAACACCCAGGATCAGTCCCTCCCTCTTGAATAGAACACACACACACACACACACACACACACACACACACACACACACACACACACACACACACAGAGAGAGAGAGAGAGAGAGAGAGAGAGAGAGAGAGAGAGAGAGAGAGAGAGAGAGAGAGAGAGAGAGAGAGACACTGAAATCCCAGTAGGAACTCTCACAACTGTCTGACCACTGTCAGGGTGGTGAGAACCACATCCTTTACTTTTTTTCCTAAGGAGCCAGAGCTGCAGGCTCCTTGGCTTTGTCTTGGCCCCAAACAAAAGGAATTGTCCCTCTCCCAGCTGATTCCATGTCCAACTGTTGGAACAGGAGCCCCAGGAGATGGGCCACTTGCAATAGGAGGGGTGGGTGCTGAGAATGGCCACACCTGCGCCTTCCTCCATGACACTAACTGTGTTCCAGAGAGGAGCCAGCTCCAAATAAGGAGGAAGAGAAAGGATGGGGAGAAGACAGGAAGAGGAAGGTCGGCGTCGTCTGCAGTCCCGCTTCATGCTGCAGCCACCTTCTTCCTCCTCATCTTCCTCACTCCTCCTCCTCTCCTCCCTTCTCTTCTTTCTCCTTCTCTTCTTTCTCCCCTCCCCCTTCCTCTTACTTTCCCTCTTCCACTTCCTGCTCTTTCTCTTCTTCTCTCTTCTCACCCTATCCCCAAGAAGCTAGGTTTATAGCTAGTTGGATAGACCATCAGGTCTACATCTGCTACAGCCTGGGCATCAGCCATTGCTCTTGGGAAACAGGTAGAGAGGACCATTTGAAGGTTCTAGAAGACCCAAGGTGGGGCCAAAGACACAACTTTTTCTTCTCTTTCTTTTCTTCTTTCTTTTTTCTTTCTTCCTTTCCTTTGCTTTTAAAATGTCTTTTGAGACAGGGTTTCTCTGTATAACAGCCCTGGTTGTCCTGTAACTCACTTTGTAGACCAGACTGGTCTAGAACTCACAGATATCCTTCCTGCCTCTGCTTCATGAATGCTGGATTAAAGACATGATCTGCCACTGCCCAACATAACTTTTTTCTTGATAATAGCCCTGCAAAAATAAGTCAACCACATGAGACTATAGGGATGGCTCAGACGACCCAAGTTTGGTTTTTTTGTTTTGTTTTGTTTTTTGTTTTTTGAGACAGGGTTTCTCTGTATTGTTTTGGAGCCTGTCCTGGAACTAGCTCTTGTAGACCAGGCTGGCCTCGAACTCACAGAGATCCGCCTGCCTCTGCCTCCCGAGTGCTGGGATTAAAGGCGTGCGCCACCAACACCTGACTGAGGACCCAAGTTGGTATCCCTAGCGCTCCTTACAGCAGCTGCATCTGTAACCCCAGTGCTGGGCTGGTGGAGACAGGCAGATCTCTAGAGCTCATTGGCCAGCCATGGAGCTCTAAGTTCAATAAAAACCCTGTTTCAAATAATAAGATGGAGAACCATTGAGGAAGACATTTGATGTTGACCTGTGGCAGTGCGCGCATGCTCACACTCTCTCACACACACACACACACACACACACACACACACACACACACACACACACACACACACACAGTGAATGTCTCTTGCACTGGTTCACTCTTAGGGACAGACATCCGTGACCCTAGGCTTTGTAAGCATAGGTAGGTAGAACAGATGTTAGAACTCCACCCAATTGAGTTGAGCCTTCTCTTTACAATGGCCCTGTAAAGTAGGTGGTAGAATGCCCATTATACAGATGCAGAATCTGAGGCTCTGGAAGTTGAACACCTGGTCAAAGGTCATGGAACAAGCAGTTCTCAAGTTTGCTTGTGGCTGGAAGAGAGGCTCCCCAAAGTCTAAGGGCTTGGCCCAGGTCCCACCCAAAGACTCCAGCACTTGAGATCTGCCAGGCCTGCCTTATAAGCCCAAAGGACGTGTGGCCAGCTCTGATTCTGGCCCGGGCCTTCTAGGGAGACATGGCCTTGCTGCCAAGGACTCGGCCCCAGGACAACCTCCCCTGCTTGGCTAAATTTAGCACTCTGTGGGTATGGAGGGGGTCAGTGCCCATCCTGGAGCCACTGATCAGGCCTGGAGGGCAGCCTGAGTCCTCAACAGGGTGGGTGGCATTAATTCCAATTTGTCTCCTTAGCCACTCATGGTACCAAAGGCTTATCCCTGGCAGTTTGACTCTCACACTGTATGGGCCTGCCCTAGTGTCCTCAGGGAGTCACCCAATCCTCAACAGCCCCTCCAGTGCTGTTGGAATAGAGCTCTTGACCTAAGTCAAGGGGAGGTCTATGGAGAAGGCTGGGTACCAGCCATGACCTCAGGGCTGGCTTTTCTTCATTGTCTGAATTTTCCAGACCTCTTCCCTCCCACCGTGGGCCATGACCACACTGGCTCCTATCCTTCAGTGTCAAAGGCATCGTGGTCTCCTAGTCCATCTCTATTCTCTTTGAGTCTTTCCCTGCAGACCTCTTCTGTCCAGTAGGAAGGGGCTTCTGGCTAGCATAGGTCCCTCTCCTGAACACTAGGCACTCACTCAAGAGACTTGTTTCTTCAGCAGTTCTCAAGGCAGTGGCTCCTCTGTAGCCATAAGTAGCACAGGCCCACTCACCTCTTCTACTGCTCTTTCTTTTTCTTTTTTCCTTTTTTTGGGGGGGCCGGGGAGAGACAGGGTTTCTCTGTGTAGCTTTGGAGGCTGTCCTGGAACTAGCTCTGTAGACCAGGTTGGTCTCGAACTCACAGAGATCCGCCTGCCTCTGCCTCCCGAGTGCTGGGATTAAAGACGTGTGCCACCACCGCCCGGCCTCTTTCTTTTATTTAAGATATAGTTTCATACATCTTAGACTGACCTCAAACTTGCCATGCAGTGGGAATGAACTTGAACTTCAGATACTCTCGCCTCCACTTCCCAAGTGCCGGGATTATGGACAAGTACCACCAAGTGCAGTTTACGTGGAGATGGAGATCAAACCCAGGGGGTTTGCATGCCAGGCTAGCACTCTACCGGCCAAGCTACACCTCCGGCTCCCTTTTTTTCTTAATTTAAATCAAGCCAAGTTGAGGTGGAGTTCACTTTTTTCCTTCGTTTCCACTTTTGACAGTTTGATGAGTTCTGACAAATGCACATAGTTACTCTCTGACCCATCATTCTAGAAGGGTCTCTCTTGATCCCACCTACTTTGATGCTTTGAGACAGGGTTTCTCTGTACAGCTCCGACTGTCCTGGAATTCACCCTAGAGACCCGGCTAGCCTCAAACTCAGAGATCCGCCTGCCTCTGCCGCCACCTCTGGCTTCTCCTGACCCTCTGTACTCACTCTTCATCCAGTAGCCCAGCAATCACCGATTTGTGGTCAGTTTGGGTTATCCTGCCTTTTGTGGAAGTCCACGGAGGCACAAGCACACAGGATGAGCTTTTTTGTATCTTATCTCTTTCATCCAGCACGATTATTTCTTCATATGCTTGAGACAGGATTTCACTTTGCAGCCCAGGCTGGCCCAGACCTTGCTGCAATGTTCCTGCCCAGCCTCTCTACTGATGAGATTTTCTGATGTGTGCCACATGGCTGACCTATCACAGTGGTTTTAAGCTGTCTATATGTGGTTCTATATGCATGTGGTCATGTGTGCCTTTGCTGCTGAAGATTTTCTGTTGTACAGACATACCACAGGTGTCCCCGGACTTTTGGGCTCAGATCTCTGGATGTCCGTACTCCCTTCTCAGCTCTGTCTTTATTTTGTTCTTCCATGTCTCATGACACAGCTCCAACCTGTTCCCTCCCCTCACTGAGGAGGCCTGGAGAGCACAAAGTCCTGTTCCCTCCCCTCACAGAGGAGGCCTGGAGAGCACAAAGTCCTGTTCCCTCCCCTCACTGAGGAGGCCTGGAGAGCACAAAGTCCTGGTTTCCAGAGAAGCAAGGGGACCCAGAGGCATCTTGGCAGCTGCCACCTTGGAGCCAGAGAGGAGTATGGTGGCGTTGCCTGGGAATTCCCTCCTGGGTGAGGTGAGGAAACCTCTCTGTTTACCTTGGCTGCCCAGCCTTGGGTTGCAGACTCCATGTTGTGTGCTAGACAGAGATGGATTTGGGCAGGCCCTGGTGTGGGTGGAGGCAAAACGGACCAGGTCATCATGATCCAGAGGCTGCTGGGGACACTGGAGACACACACACACACACACACACACACACACACACACACACACACACACACACGCCTCTTCTGAAAATTCCCTTTGCCTATCTCATTTCCACACCTTCATCATGATGAAAGCCAGAAGATAGGCCCCTCCCACGGGTTCCTCATTTGTTAGCTGGAGCCCCAGTATCATGGGGCTCTTGAGACCCTAAAAGAGGAGTGCAGGATTTTATATTTGAGAGTCTTACAGAGGTCTGTGTGGCCAAGAATACTTCTAACCATTCTGCTGGAAAAAAAGAAATCCTTGAGAGCTCCTCAGGGTACGAGCTATCTCCTCTGTTGCTTCACAGATGTGTGACTTAGATAACGACACTGAAACCACATGTAGAAAATCCTTGCACTTGGCAGTGGAATTCTGGGTTTCTTCTTTCCCCCAACCCTAGGGCCTCAGACTGCTCTACCACTGGTTTGTATTCCCATCCCAGTAGTACCTTGGGCTTTCTTTGTTTTGTTCTTGCTTTGCTGAGTAATTTGGAGGTCCCAGGTTTTCACTTTACAATGGGCTCTGCAAATGATACAGTCGGTCCTGCCTCCTTCCCTGTGCAACAGGCCTGGGGTATCCAGATTTCCATCCCAGGACAACTGGAGGAGAGATGTGAAACCTTCATGGTGAGCCTTCTCTCTCTCTCTCTCTCTTTTTTTTTTTTTTTTTTTTTTTGGTTTTTCGAGGCAGGGTTTCTCTGTGGCTTTGGAGGCTGTCCTGGAACTAGCTATTGTAGACCAGGCTGGTCTCGAACTCACAGAGATCCGCCTGCCTCTGCCTCCCGAGTGCTGGGATTAAAGGCGTGAGCCACCAACGCCCGGCTGAGCCTTCTCTTTAGAGACATAACTAGTCCCTTCCTACAGCTGCTTCCCAGCATTGCCTGCAGAGGCTGGTTCATATTAGGCATCATTATTGAGACACCCCTAGGTGGTGGGAGCTGAGGGAAGTTGTGGGAAAGGGGGAGAAACCTTTGAGATTGGATGGATTGCAGGGGTCCCAGGGGGATAAAAACATAGCAAGCAAGAAAGCCCAGGGAGAGTAATAGGAACTACAGCACTGCCAGGTCAGGCATTTGCTAGGGATCCTAAGGTAGGGATCCTTAAACGTAGGCTCCAGGCCCAGATCCTTTTCTGTTGAGGTGACATGTTAATCCCAAAATATGTGATTAAACCGTTGAGCGCTGTTCTTAAACTGCCAAGCAGTAGAGCAGGAAGCAGGCTGCCCAATAAGACTCAGGTTCGCCCCACTTCTGCTATTGGGGTGTGGTTCTGGTCCTGTGATTCCAACGTAAGTGTTTCTCAAAGCCCCATCTTCGCATCAGAGATGGACTCTGGCAATGTGGGGATCTCAGACATTGACTTTGCTGGTTCTGGGTAGGTGGGCCCCTGGTAGCCACAGAGATAGGAGCCCACAGTTCAGACAAGATGCTGACAGCTCCAATCCCCATACACACACCTTTATTTCTCTACCAGAAAGCATGTCAGCAGGTGGGTGCAGGGCAGCTAGAACAGCCAAGCCATCCCTCTAACGTGTTTCTCTCTAAGGCCCCTCCAGAACCCGCCTGAGGGGAGAGAGGATTGCAGGAGTAAGCTGCCAAACATGGAGTCCATCTGTCTGCAAGGCAGGCCGAGGGGGTGAGGCTTTTGCTACTGGGGGTCAGGATAGTGATGTGAATCTTGATTTACATATAAAATAATCACACTGTACACACTTGAGGCAGAACTAAGTCACGCAGACAGGCATGCACTCTGTTTTCTGTGACACCTGACTAGTTTGTTGCCAAAGGAGCGACAGCAGGGTTAAGAGGAACAACCACGGGGGGGGGGGACCCAAGCAACACCAAAACCAGTTCATCTGATAGATCCCGTGAGATGATTTCTTTCAGTGGGGGGCAGGGGTAGGCAGTCCCTCACGGAGCACCCATCCCAGTGACATCTCTTTGACTCAAAGACGTATGGTGGGAAGAGCAGGGCGAAGAGTAATGCCGGGAGCCCAGGAGACTTGGAGTCACCCAGCCCTGCAGCAAGTGGCATGCCTCACACCAGGCTGGGTGGCAGAAGAGGCTGGCACGGACCCAGGGATGTCTGGAGTCTCAGGCACCAGGGACACGGACAGGAAAACTGGCCTCTGCTATACAGACGAGGTCACCCTCAATCGTCATGAGCTGAGGCAGTGAGCCGAGAGGTGGGAATAGGGCTGAGCTCCTGGGAAAGGGAGTCCTGTGTTGTGTCCCCTGTATTGTCCAAGCCCCATCCCCTAATTCCCGACTCCACCCCACCTGCCCCAATTCTTGTGTTCCTATCTGTCTGTGATCCCTCAACCCTGGGTCCAGCACATACATAAACAGACACAGGCTCCCGCTCTCAGAATTGGACTTGGTGGAGGCAGAGCCAAGTGGAAGGGGGTGCCCTTCCTTGTGATCACAGCTGGGCCCAGATGGTCCCCTCTGACTCCTTCTCCCACAGCTGAGTAGGCTCCAGATCCAAACTAAGCAAGAGGTCAGAGTCTGTAAGAAGGCCCCCATGAGTCCTCCATCAGGGCAGAGGCATGAGTTAGCAAGCAAACCCAGTGAGCAAATGCCCAGCCTCCAAGCAGGGGAAAGGTTGTAGAGCTGTGGGTAATATGTGGTGTCTCTGCGGCCAGCTTTGGCTTCTTAGCCGCCCCTCCTGGGCTCAACTTCTGGGCCAGAGCTGTAGGGAGGGCTGGAAATGGAGACAGGGACCTGGGGTTGGGACTAAAGGTGACCAATCTTGTTTCAGGCCTGTTATGTCCAGCAGGGTCCAGTAGACAGGTGGCTGAGTGTTGTGGCAGGGGTGGGAACGGGGGCGAATGCTTGGACACTCTCAGTCCGACAGCCATACTGGAGACTCCTCTCTGATCCCAGAACTTACTTCAGGTCCTTTTTTTCTGGAGGGAAAATAAACCCGAGAACTCATATTACGACCAAGAGTGAGCTATGCAGGCTGTCCCTTTCAGCCACTTCTCCAGGGCCAGCCCCCACTTTCCACGGCCTGGAACCTTCCATACCTGATCTATTCCTAGTCTCACTGAGCCTGAGCCCCAGCCTCAGGAATCCAGCTGCTCTCTATGTCTCCTGCAGTCCTCCCAGAGAAAACGCTCATATTTCTTTGTTTGGAAAACACCCCCAGTTACTGTTAGTTCCACAAGCAGGGGATCCCCCTTGCCTCCTCCCTATCCCGCGTGGTCTGACTTCAACTGAACACGCTCAAGCTGACCTTTACCTCTGCAGCCCATACAAGGACTAAGGCCCACTCTATCTGTCTCGCCTTACTACCTCCCTTCTGCTGCTGGCGTCATACAAAACCCCAACCTGGCCCCATCATCCTCCCGTGGCTCCACTGTCTTCAGATGAATTCTGGGTCCGCCTTGTAAGCTTGGACTCTCCCAGATCCATTCTCTCTCAGCTTCTCCATCCCAGCCTACAGGCCTCCTGACAACCACTCAGTCACACCTGAATAGTGCCAAGGGTGGAGAGAGGACCCCCAGTCCCAGAGCTGACCCTAAATCCACAATTCTCCCCAGGACACATCCTCATAAATCACAGAGAAACAACAAGCGTCAGGCCTCAGTAAAACTTCCCTAAAAGGCCACTCAGCTGGCTTGGGAACGTAAAGGGTCCCCTCTCTCACCCCCGCCCTGTCCAACTTTAGGAGGCCCAAGGGATTGCGGCCGCCTGCCGGCTCAAGGCAGAGCCGTTTGGACTTCCAGCCAGCACATCGCTCCCCAGGGGAGGCCACAGGGACCCATCCTAGGTCCCTCCTGAAGACCTGTGGTCGCTCTCTTTCAAATCAAACTTCTGCAGGACCATAGTGGTCACCATTTTAGGTCAAGAAGGTTGGTAAAGGTGTGGCTTGGGGCCAGCTCACCCTGGACCAAGATTTGGTTTCTTCCTCAGGCCAGTTTAGCGCCTCTTTGGTTTATACTCTATTTAGTGTCCCTTCAGTACGTTTCTAGCTGTCATAGTCCCTCTCCCATGCTTACAGTCCTTCTGTGGTCCCCACTCCCTGAGAATAACCAGGACCTTATCTTGGCATCCGGGTCTTCCATGTCCTCTGGGCTTCCCCTCTCACGCCCCAGGCACCAGCTGCAGTATAGACGCCTTAGCCTCTACCCTGCCAGATTCCACTTTGTCCATGTAATCTACTCTAGAATCTTCTAGCAATTACCCTTAGTCCCAACTGGGCGGCCCTCTAATCTCCCCCATCTAACTCCCGCCCTCCCATTGGGCCCAAGAATTCAGTGTGGAATTGTATCCCAGACACAGGGTTTCCCCAAGGGAATGAGAAATTTTAGCCATGGGGAGACATTTTTCATTTTAAAATTTCCTCAAGAAAACATGCTGAACTCCTTGCCTGCTGTGGTCATCAGGGATGAGATGTCTCTCAAGGAAGACAAAACAGCTTCCAGATGCTCATGTTTCTAGGGGGCAGGCTTCACGAGTGAGTTTGTCTGACTGGGGCTGGGTGTGGAGGGAGGGGTTTCCAGGGGGCTCTCCTGTGCTGTCTGGCCAGAGCCAGAATTATTTTTTTCCTTTCTTTTTGTTTTTGTTTTTGTTTTTTTTTTGAGATAGGTTTCTCTGTGTTATCCTGGCTGTGCTAGAACTCACTCTCTAAATGTGGTTGAGTTTGAACTCAGAGATAGATTGCCACTGCTTCCCTTTAGAATCTTTCAGAGAAAACTAAGATAAAAAGTAATGCAAATATTTTAGGGAACAGACAGGCTTTCATTACATTGACCAAATGGATCTTCAACCCCTGTTCAAGTGGTGTTGCGGTTCAGTCTGGGTACACGTGAACACAGTCTGGGTACACGTGAACACAGTCTGACAGCGGCCATCTGTTGTGGTGGGCTGGCACAAGTGGTTCGGGAAGTGCTGGGATTAAAGGAGTGTGCCACCACTGCCCAGCCAGAGCTGGAATTGTGATGCTCTAGTGTCAGAACCATTTCTTTGAGGCCTCTCCCAGGTCCACCCAGGGTGAGCCTGAAAGACCCATATATGGAGGGGGCAAAATGGCCTGGTCCAACCGCCCTCAGCCCCGCTCGCTGGCTCTTTGAATCTAGCCATTCCCTGTACAAACTCCAGAGAAGAGGGAAAGGCTCATCAAGGCTCTTTTGAAAAGACAATTGTTTTCAGTACCCAGTAGGTTTGGTTAGCATAGAGTATGGGGGCCTTTATGGAATGACAGGCATGAGATTTATTTATAGCCTCCACTATTTCCTGGATCAGGGGTCACATTCCAGCTAGAAGTGGCCCCCAAAGTCCCAGCTGCCCAAAGCAAGTTTTAGCTGGTTGCTGGGCCCAACCTCTCCACAGCAGGGTAGCTTTCTTATCTGCACCCAAACCGGCTGCTGTCCATCCCTCCTGGATAAAGACAGACCCTCCCCTTGTTCCCACTCATAAGGTGACACCAAGAAGCCAACCCGGTGTGGTATGGGGTCCTGGAAGTGGTCGGCGGTTGCCTACTCCAGGCCTGCACAATTGTCCTGAGAATACCTGGATAAAGACAGGCCAGTAGAGGGAGGTCAGAGGTCAAGGCTAGGACTACCACAGCTTCTTCTCCACATACGTGCATAAGGCAGCAGGGGTGGGGTGGAGTGGGGGCGGTTATGGCAGGAGAGAAGAGGGAGGCAGCATGGTCCTGAGCAGTGCTCCCAGGAGGTCCAGTCAAGGCTCTTCCAGTGCAAGACACCTCCTAGCAACACCTTGGGTCACAGCTACCAGGACCCTTATATTTTCCATTTCATGATCCAAAAACATAGCTCTCCTACCATGATCCAAAAACATAGCTCTCCTACCATGATCCAAAAACATAGCTCTCCTACCATGATCCAAAAACATAACTCTCCTACCATGATCCAAAAACATAGCTCTCCTACCATGATCCAAAAACATAGCTCTCCTACCATGATCCAAAAACATAGCTCTCCTACCATGATCCAAAAACATAGCTCTCCTACCATGATCCAAAAACAGCTCTCCTACCATGATCCAAAAACATAGCTCTCCTACCATGATCCAAAAACATAGCTCTCCTACCATGATCCAAAAACAGCTCTCCTACCATGCATCCAGCATCCACTGCAGCATGGGGAGGGAGGAAGCAGAGGCAGGCTGGAGGCAGCTGGTGAGGACGTGGGAGGGGCTGGGCCTCACTTACCATCCATGTGGTTCCTGGACAGATACTTGAGGGCCTCATCGAGCAGGATGACAGGCAAAGACATCTGGAGCACCACCCCCCACTGCCGGCCACTCAGTGGGGTCACCTGGAAAATGAGCTGGTGGGGCAGGGAGACCCAGTCACAGGCTGTGGATCTGTGTCACCCACCTGGGCTCCAATGGGCTCTCTGTGGGCATGTCCCTGGGAGCCCTTCTGTCACACCTAAGTCTCCCCAAGGACATGCTGTCCCTTGCTCACACAATCCTTCCCCGGCCCTGCCTTCCACTCAGGCTCAGATAGTCCCCTCAATGAGGGGGTTCTACCTTTCATGTCCCCTGAAGGTGGGGACCTATAGGGGGGTGATAGCTAGCCACATCTCTCCCTGCTGTCCTTCCTGTCCTTCAGGTGACTTCTATTAGAGAGGTCTAGGAAGGCTCAGCACCAGTTGGGACCCCCTAGTGTCCAAGGACTACTTGGTGCCTGTAACCCAAGAAACTAAGGAAGGAGGGGGCATGGGGGCAACTCACAGGCAGGGGAGGCACCAGAAGGATGAGGAAGTGCAGAGCCATGGACATGACCACAGCCCCCAGCAGCCAAGGGTTCAGCCAGGGTGGCATGCGCAGCAGTGACTGGTTCTCTGAGACGCTACCAAAGGCACAGGGACTCACTCAGGACGGTGTCAGGCCACGGCGGGCCACCCACCTCAGCAACCACCTCTCTACTTAGGTTGTAGAGTCAGCATGGATATTTCCTGTGCATATCCCACTCACCCTAGAGGCCAACCTCAGGGCTTGGGCCTACGTTCTCTGTCCCTCAGGTTCACTCCTGGACCTCCATGGTATCACACCCAGGTCTTTCTCTCCTGAATCCCAATTCTGGCCCCACTGACTCTCAGAACGGACCTCTATCACCCACAGACCTCAATCTTCAATCTACTTGGATCCCAATCCCTGTCCCTTTTGACCTTAGACCTCAGTCTGTCTTGGACTCCTCTGACCCTTAACCCCAGCCCAGAATCCCCTCTGCCCAGCTCACCTGTTGAGGGCATTGCACATTTCAATGGTCACAAGCACAGATAAGGCCATGGTTGTGGGGAAGCGGGACTCAAAGACCTCACAGTCGATGCCGTCAAAGAGTGGGTTGTCTTCAGAGCACTTCAGGAAGTTCCTCTGAGGACAAGGTGAAGAACAGCTGTTACTGAGGTTCTGGACAGAGGAGAGGGAAGGCTTCTCCAACTTTGGACCAACTGAGGATGACTATAGAGTACAGCTCTGCAAGGATGAGTCAGAGCGACTACCCTGTGGTGGTTGTTCATGGATCATGGGAGTAGCTGGCTTCAGGCTGGGGAAGGCACTGGGAGGCCATGGGGTTGGGGCGGTGATCAAAAGAGACCTCATAAATACTCAAGTGCTTGCCAAGATCAACCAACACAACTACACTTAAATAGAACTGACCTCAGAAGCAGACAAAACCCACACGTGCCCTCTTCAAAGTCATCACACAATTCCTGCCTCACTCTCTGCCCTCTGCTTATGACACAGAGAATGAATGGCCAGGGCTCAGCCTTAACAAACACCTCCTCTGTAGTTAGTGAGCTGTTAGCACCATAAGGAAGCTGCCCCCCACCCCAGGAGCTTTCTTTCTGCTCACTGGCCTTGTTCAGAGTCTCCTGCAAAAGATGCCAAACTGAGGATGTCTGGGAGAACTGACTTGTTCTCTCCCACACCATGGGGGTGAGTGCCACTGAGTTCACCTGGGTCTCTCAAGCATAATTTCATTTCTTTCTTTCTTTTTCTTTTTTTGAGACAGGGTTTCTCTGTGGCTTTGGAGGCTGTACTGGAACTCACTCTGTAGTCCAGGCTGGCCTTGAACTCACAGAGATTCGCCTGCCTCTGCTGGAATCAAAGGCATGTGCTGCCACCACCACCCAGTTCAAATAATTTTATTTCTTACAAGTCTCTTCTTCACAGGGCTTAGTGATAGGCATTGTGCTGTAGAGATAAATCCTCCAGGGACAGGTGGTCTGACCGAGCAGTAAATACAGCACTGTTGGCTCTGTGCATGAGCCTCTACTGTCACACAGGAGGAAAACTATTGGCCACTAAGGCTTGGCTAGAGCCCTCCTAAAAGCTGATTGCATGCATGTGCCCCCAGACCCAGTTTACAGAGTGCTGTGAACTAAACCAAGTGTGTCATGCATGTTAGGTTCATGCATGTACCAGCTGAGCCACATCCTCAGTCCGAGCTCAGCTTGAGTTGGACCATTTATGCAGTCACATAACGGAGTGTGGGTGTGGTGGTTTATTTTAACTGTTAATTGGATGAAATTTAGAATCACCTGAGGGAGTGTGTAGCCCAGGTTGGCCTGTGGATATGTCTGTGGAACAACTGTCTTGATTATGTTAACCAATGTGGGAGCCCCAGCCTGAAACCAGACAGTGGCATTCAGTGGGTCTGGGCCCTGGACCACAGGAAAGCAGAGAAAACAAGCACCTCCTGCTCATTAGCGTGCACTTCACATTCGTCTTTAATGATTTATATACCAAAGAAAGGGGTTTTGTTGTTGGTTCGGATTTTAAATGAATATATATGTGTATGTATTCACATATGATTTTATGTGTATGGGTGTTTTGCCTGACTGGATATCTGTGTACCATGAGTGCCTGATCCCTCAGAGGCTACCAGGTCCTCTGGAACTGGAGTTACAAACAGTTGTGAGCTGTTACACAGTTGTTTTCTGAGGCTCTGACCCTGGCCTCTGCAAAAGCTGAGCCACCTCTCAAGCCCGTTCCTGTTTTGTTTGAGACGGGGTTCGCACTATGTATCTCTGGCTGGCCTGCAACTCGCTATGTAGACCAGACAAACCTTGACCTCACAGGAATCTACCTGTCCTGGGTACTGGGATTAAGGTCCCAGCTGGCAGAATTGTTTTAAAATATATTTCTTTATGGTTTATTATTAATAAATAATTGCCTTGTGTATGTATTTTAATACTTATGTACTTGGGGTCATATAAAAATTTCTTGAGTGAGAAGGGATTTCAAATAGAAAAAGTTTATGAAACAGGAAGCTGGAGGAATACCTTGGTGGTTAAGAGCACTCGCTGCTCTTCAGAGATCCTAAGTTCGATTCCTAGCATCCACATGATAGATCACGACTGTAACTACAATTCCAGAAATCTGACCACGTCTTCTGGCCTATGTAGGCACCAAGGACACATGTGGTACACAGACATAAAAGCAAACAAAACACTCCTACACATAAAATTAAAAACAAACAAAGCCAGGTGGTGGTGGTGTTTGGGAGGAAGAGGCAGGCAGATCTCTGAGTTTGAGGCCAGCCTGGACTACAGAGTGAGTTCCAGGATAGCCAGGGCTACATAAAGAAACCCTGTCTCAGAAACCCAACACTCCCCCACCTTAAAAAAATAGAAAACAAGCAGATACTTTTTAAAAAGTCATGAATCAGAGTGTTCTCTTTTGGGAGTTTCCTCAAGAATCCCTCTCTTGAAATCTGAAAACTCTAAGGCTGGAAAGGTGGCAGAGGCAGGCAGATACCGGAGCCAGCTGAGTCTATGAATCTATGAGCTCCAGGTTCAGTGAGAGACCTTGTCTCAAAAAAAAAATAAGGTTTAGAGTAATCAAGGGAGACACCCAATGACAACCTCTGGCCTCTGTACACATGTGCACATGTACACACACAAACACATAAATACCAGAGAGACAGAGACAGAGACACAGAAGCACAGAGAGGGAGAGAGACATCGGTGACTCTAGCCTAAGGTTCTGTCTCAGCCTCCCATTGAAGCACTTCCCACCCTGAATAGGGTTCCCCATTTCCACAGCCCCTCCCCCAGACTGCCAGCTCTTTGTAGAGACCCCCTGATAACACTCCCATGGCTTCAGTAATTTGTGCCCAGGCCAAAGTGAGAACTTGATAGATATTTCCTGACCAAGTGACTGAATGAGGAAAGGAATGAGCTAAGAGCAGTTGAGAAGAAAACATCACGTCAGGCTGACTGGGGCTTAAGGAGATGTCTAATGTGACTCCGGGGGTCAGCCTGAGTGACGAGGCAGACAGTGGGTCTGAGATGAGATAGAGGAGAGAGATCATTGTGGAAGGAGATGGCCTTGGTGTGAGCCTTATGGTTTGCATGGGGCCTGTGAAAATGGCAGAGGTGGTAAATAGCATCTGTGGGGTGGGATCTCAGGAGAGAGACAGGAAATCCCTAGAGATGGGAGAATCCTTGGTCTAAAGCAGTGGTTCTCAACCTGTGGGTCGAGACCCCTGGGTTGAACAACTTTTCAAAGGGGTAACTTAAGACCGCCTGCATTTCAGAGATTTACATTTTGACTCATAACGGTAGTAAAATTATAGTTATGAAGGAGCAACAAAAATAATTTTATGGTTGCGGACACCACAACTTGGGGAATGGTATTAAGGGGTCATAGCATTGGGAAGGCTGAGAACCACTGGTCTGAAGGATGGATGTAGACACAGTGATGGATGGAGGCACAGTGCCACACTCTAGTCCAAAGCTATCACGGGAGCCAGTGGTGTTGAGGTCATCAAGGATGATGGGCTCCCTGGCTGAGGACAGGAGGGGAGGGATGTTAGCCTTTGAAGGAGGCGGGGCTATGCTCTGTATTGTGGCGAACTGGTAGAGATGCTCTCTGGTCTCGAGGGCTGCTGGGTACAGAACATGGCCCTAGGGCCACCTCCTCTCCAACAATGCAGGTGGCATCCATCAAGGAAGGGTCCCAACTCCCTCAGCTGTCCTTGTCCACTGTTCTGTGTGTCTGTTTCAAGCAAAGGGCCAGAAGGAGACACAGCAGCTGAAAGGGCATCTGGCTTGCTTCCTGAGCTGAATGAACTAAGCTAAAACTGCTCTACACTGTGCTGTGTAGTATTTCCTTGAGCTGGGGAAGACAGCTGCAGGCCAGCCATGAAGGCTGTGTCTCCCTCTGGGACTCCCTCAACTATATCATCTGTAATTCCCCTGTCTGGCCTCTTCTTGCTCACCAGCTGATAGAAGGTGACTTGAGGTCCCTCGGCGTCATATAGGAACCACCAGGTGGCGGCAGCCACCGTAGCCAGGCCTACATACACTGTGGGCAGAGGAAGAGACACAGCACAGTAAGCAGTTGAGTTTGTTTGCTTGTTTGTTTGTTTGTTTGTTTGTTTGCCATTCATATCCACTACCCAACCATCCCTTGACTTTCCCTCTCCTTTCATAAGCCATGGCCTACTAACATCTATCCTGTGCCAATCATGGGCTCTGAGTGGCAGTCTCATCTGCCACACTCTTGGGTATAGTGACTAGTCTAATTTGCACTAATAAAAACTAATAGAAACAGGCCTGAGGCTTTTATAAAAATAAATTCCAAGCCGGGCAGTGGTGGCGCACCCCTTTAATCACAGCACTCGGGAGGCAGAGGCAGGTGGATCTCTGTGAGTTCGAAACCAGCCTGGTCTACAGAGCAAGTGCCAGAATAGGCTCCAAAGCTACACAGAGAAACCCTGTCTTGAAAAACAAAACAAACAAAAAATAAAAAACCAAAACAAAACAACAAACCTCCCTGGGCTGGAGAGACTCAGTGAGCATAAGCATGAAGATCTGAATTTGGATCCCCACCATCCATGTAAAGGCTGGATGTGGCCAGGTGTGCCTGTAATCCTGGCACTATGGGTTTGCAGGATACAGACAGGAGGATCACTAGAACTTTCTGTGGCCAGCAAGCCTCCCCTGCCTCCCCCACCCCAAAAGGGCAAGCTCCAGGCTAGTGAGAGGCCCCACCTGAAGGGAAAAAGGCAGACTGACAGACCAGCCGTACCCTGTGCCTAGTCTTTTTAGTCACATGAGCCCAGAGCATCTGCTAGCGGAAGCTAGCTGAGTTGCACTATCTGCAGTCTGCACACCTAGGATGCTCCTGAGGGATAATTCCCTGCTCACCTCCAATAGCCAAATACCGGAAGAAAAGCCAGCCACTGATGAGAGCCTCACGGGGGTTCCGAGGCAGCTTCTCCATGATGTCCAGATCTGGTGGGTTGAAGCCAAGTGCTGTGGCAGGGAGGCCATCTGTCACCAGGTTTACCCACAGCAGTTGCACAGGGATCAGGGCTTCAGGCAGGCCCAGAATTGCTGTGAGGAAGATGCTAAAACCAGAGTCATGGGCTCTAGCCCAAGCAGACCAGCTACCACCAGAGGATCCAGCTATACCTCTTACCCCAGGCTGGAAGAAGGACCCTCTGCAGTTTCCTCTGCAGCCCAGGAGGGAGGAGTGTGAGTATACTGGCTATATTTGCCCTTTATGTCTAACAAAAGACAGTTGGGTGTATACACACATACCACATGCCCAAGCAGCAGACATGTGCAAACATGTAAGGCCTGTTACTCAACCACACAAACACATAAACACAAGCATTCACCGATATGCTGGCCCCAAAGCACAAATGTGCAGAATTCACCTGCATTGAATACACATGACCTCACAGCATCCAGCAGCCATCTCTCCCATGCAAACAGGAATGGGAACATAAGCACACTCTGGTCTACATTCTGTTTGAGATTATACCCAATGACATGTAAGAGCACACATGCATTCCTAAGCATAGACCTCTAACCTGAACACACCACACACACACACACACACACATTAATGCATGCATACATGAAGACACCCTGTTGCCCTGTGGTGAAGCTGCTTCTCCAGTCTTATGGGTCTCAAGAGTGAGAAGTGATGAAGAGGAAAGACCGTGGCTGGAGGATGGTAGAGGATGCTGAGGTGCACCACAATCCTGGGGAAGCCTTCTCAGGAACATAGAGTTGTTTGGTACAGGGGCTTGGGAGGAGAGAGCATGGAGCCTCACCAGACAACCTCACCAACATTGGAGGAGATGAGGTAGCGGATAAATTGCTTCATGTTGTTGTAGATGGCCCGGCCCTCCTCCACTGCAGCCACGATGGAGGCAAAGTTGTCATCGGACAGTACCATCTCTGCTGCTGACTTGGCCACAGCGGTGCCTGAGCCCATGGCGATGCCAATCTCTGCCTTCTTCAGGGCTGGTGCGTCATTCACCCCATCGCCAGTCTGTGGGCCGGGCCAGGTAGCACACACCTGAGAAACTTGTCTATTTCCTCTTATCCCTAGTAACCCCACTGTTAGCCCCAAGAACTCAGACAGATAGAAGACATGGTGGAGTCAAGAATGAACTTAGAGAGCCAGCCCGTAGACCCAGCCACTCATAAAACAAGCAGGAAGACCACAAGTTCAAGACCAGCCTTGGTAACTTACTGAAACCTGTCTCGAAATAAAAGTGAAAAAAGGTCAGGGGATGTGGCTCAGTGACAGAGTGAGGGCCCTGCAACAGCACCCCTGCCCCTCCCCACCCCCCACAACACGGAAGGAGGGAGGAAGGAAGGAAGGAAGGGAGGAAGGAAGGAAGGAAGGAAAAATAAGCATGATCTTATAAGTTGGTTTGAAGATGGGATTAGAGAAGTCAAGGGATATGGGCTTGGATGAAATTGGACAAGACCAAGTCTAAGTCCAGAGAAGATGGTGAGGCAGGGGTAAGGATGAGGTGGACCAACACTGAGGATTGGTGTGAAATTCAGGTTGGGTGTGGAGTAGACCATCAAACTGAGATTAGGGGGAAAACTAAAATCAATTCAGACATAAAGTCCAAGTCAAGGGCCAGGTACATACTAGAGTCACACGGTAAAGGACAGAATCTAGGCAAGATGCAGGCTGAAGGTAAACAATACAAATTAAAGTAGAGGTCAGAGTCAAGGTTATTGTCCTCATGACTAGTGACATAGTCAAGTTTGGAGTTGCAAGGTCAGGATTGGAGGCCAGTTTAAAATTGAAATCAACATAAAGTTGAACACTGAACAGTGTCAGAGAATCACAGTCAATGTCTTCGATCAGTTCTGGACCAGGTCAAGACTTATATGCATATCAGGATTAAGCTTAATGTAAATAATAAGAGGGTCAAGGGGCTGGGGTTAACCTCACTGGTAAAGCATGTGATTAGCAAAACAAGTTGGAGATCAAGGTCAGTGCTAAAGTCAAAGGTGAGGGCAAGAACTAGGTTCCAGCAGTAATCATTTAAAGCAGCTCCCAGGCTGTACCCGCTGCCCTGCACACCATAGCCTCACCATGGCAGTGATCTCATTAAAGGACTGCAGGTTCTCCACGATGCGAGACTTATGTGCTGGTTCCACACGGGCAAAGCAGCGGGCGGTGCGGCAAGCGTGGCGCTGCTGCTCTGGGCTGAGGTCATCAAATTCACGGCCCGTGTAGGCCTTGCCCAGCACATCTTCTGTGTCCCCAAAGATGCCAAGTCGACGGCAGATGGCCACAGCTGTGCCTTTGTTGTCTCCTGTGATCATGACGACTCGAATGCCCGCTCGGGAGCAGCGTGTGATACAGGCAGCCACCTCTGGTCTCGGTGGGTCTAACATGCCCACACAGCCCACGAAGGTCAGGTCTGTCTGTGGGGAGGGAGGCAGAGGCAAGCACATTCCGAGTCTATGCTTGACCTGGTAGGTGCCCAGCCACTGCAAGAAGAACCCAGCTCTCAGCACCCACCTCATACTGTACAAACTGGCTGCAGTCATCCAATCGCATGTCCTCCTTCCTTGGGGGTGTGTCTCTGGTGGCCAATGCTAAGCATCGCAATGTGTCAGAGCCTGAGCCCCAATCCCGGATCTTGGCCAGAATGTGTTCCCTGGAGGTGGTATTCAGGGGTGCTGTTCGGCTCCCCACTCGGACTGAGCTACAGCGCTCAATGACACTCTCGGGAGCTCCCTGCAGAGGGAAGGGGGAGTCACCTCCACCAGCCAGGACCCTGGCCCTCCTTACTGCTCAGTAGAGGAAACTATGGAGAAGGGAAGAACCACCCTCTGTAAGCTCAGAGGGGGAACCTGGTGGGTCTCACTATGAGAAAACCTAAAGGCAGGTGAGGTCACAGCCATCTACCAGCCCACGACTGAGACGGCTTACTGCAACATTTGGAGGTCTGGTTGGGATCTGCCTCTCCCGTGGGAACATGTGCCCCTCTCTGCTTGCCTGTGGCCACTGGAATTCCCACTTCATACGAGCGCCACAGCAGAATGGCATACTGAACCCTGCCAGGGCACTCGAAAGACAGGCACGCAGTGTGGCACGTGTGACCCTGGCAAGGTGGCTTTTGGTGGAGGGGTGACTAACTCCTCAGTTTTATCAGGGTCTTGCGTGGGCCTGGGGTTGGTTTCTGGCTAGCCCATCAATGGCCTCTTCCTCTCTCCCTTAGCCTAAAAACCCAGGGGCTACCTTCTCTCAGTAGCCAGGGTTCCCAGGATGGAAGCCCTGTCATTTCACGGGTACTCCACTGTAGGGATGGGATCCTTCTGTTGGATTTGAAAGCAGCCCTAGAGAGCTGAAATGGGAGTTTCTGCTTTCTCTTCCCAGATTTCAGCTTCCAAAAACTAGGCACCAATCACATCACCACCAGTGATCAGAGGCAAAGGAGCTTCTGAGAGCTTCTCGCCCAACTTTGTCATTCCCATGGGGTGCCTGAGACGGTAGAGGAGCACTGCTGACCCCCAAGTCCTGTAGCAAGGCAGTGACCCTCGGGCCAGAACCAGGGACCTAAGTCACTGGGTGCTGTTCTCAGTTCCCTAATGCATGCTGACCAACCTCACTTTGACAATGGGCCTCACGGCTCTCCGGGTCTCCCCACAGCTGCAGTGTGTGGGGCTGTTTATTTGTTTGGGTTTTGGTTCATCTGCTTTTCTTTTCTCTTCTTTTCTTCCTTCCTTTCTTTTTTGAGATAGGGTCTCATGAATTCAGACTCGCTTAGGTAGCAGACCCTCCTATCTCTACTCCCTCGAGTGCTGAGATTCGAAGCATGTGCCACTGTACCTGGTTGATGTCATTCTAGGGAACAAACTTATGGCCTCTTGCACTCTAGGCAAACACTCTACCAGCTATACTTTGTGGTGTTTTAGAGCCTGGAGACCAGATTCCCTGCCCCCTGCCCCCTACTCCCCTCCCCCAGATCCCAGAAGTAACCCCAGGCCACACAGGCAGGCCCCCACCTTCACAAACATCTTGCTGCCTTGGGTTTTGGGGTCAGGACGGGTAGGTGTGCAGTACACAGACATGGACTTCCGGTCCCGGGAGAACTCGAGGGTGAACTCCTTCCGCATGAGTTGCTTGATGACCTGCAGGGTCCAGGAGAGCAGGGTCAGGGCATGAAGGACAGAGCTGGCAACTCTTGCCTGCTTCTCACTAGCCAATCAGAAGAAGATCTGCACTCCGCTGACTCTTGTTTCTTGTGGCCTGCTATCTGCACTCCGCTGACTCTGGAACTCAAGGTTCCCACCTTCTTCTCCCAGAATGTGCTCATTTCCCAACTGGAAGCCTGTGCCTACACCCAGCCCTTTCCTCCCTCTGCTCCACAGATTCATCTTACAAGGTGCTTGAGGTCCCGGTTCTCCCTCGAAGCTCCCCAGCCTGTACTTTTGTCTTTCGCATGCACAGACATGCCAGAGCTCTGGGCTGCGCAGCATCCACAGACACACCAGAGCTCTGGGCTGAGCAGCCAAGGCAGCTGCATCGTACTCACCGAGTTGCAGGCGCCAGCGCGCTCCACCCGGGACAGCGCTTTCAGGTCTGTGTCAAACACGTTCATCTTCTCTACGAGGCAAGTCAGGGCTGTCTCCGTGGCCTCTCCTACCTTCTCATACACGCAATTGGCCTGAAGGGTCACAGCACACAGGGAGTAAGGGCCTCCTGCTGTCTTTACTTACTAATTTTGAGATAGGGTCTTGCTATGAGCTCAGGATGGCCTCAAATTCACAACCGCCTCAGCCTCCCGAGTGCTGGGATTGATTCTATGAGTACTTCAGCCCACAGGGCTTCCAGGCTCTTCTCGCTGAGCTTCAACCCTCCTCCCTTACCGCACAGGGCTCCCGGGCCCGTGTTGTTATCAGTCTGTGCTATGACACACACAGAGCATCTTTTGGAGAGGCAGTGTGGTCATACCAGTCCCCTGCTCAAAACCCTTTGGTGGCTCTCTGCTTGCCCTTGGCTTGGCATGGGAACCGATTTGGCCTGGCAAAGAGTTCCTGGAAGGCTGGAGTCTCCTCCTGTATGTTCCATTCCTCTGCTCCAGCCGCAGAAATGGCATTCGATGTGTCACCTCTACCTTTGCAGAATGAGCCTTTCCCATGACATGCCCTCTGCTTTAAATGTCCGCTCTTGTCCTGACCCCCACCCAATGTCTTCCCAAAGCATCCCGGCCTTCCAGCCTCTCGCATGGCAGCCTCTCAGGGGGCAAGGTTACACAAGCCACGTGAGCAGAATGACAAGGAGGGTAGGAAGGGAGGGTGTGCAGGGGTGACCATGCTCCAGGGGTGTGGCCCTCTGAAGCAGCAAGGAACACCAGCCTGGAACAATGAGACTCTGGGCAAAGGAGAAGGGTCTGTCCTGAGAAATGGAACCTAGGGAGGTCATGAAAAGGAGTGGGGGCCCACCTCATTGTAGTCCAGTGCTGAATCATTGCAAAGGGCGCAAATGGTCGCTAGCTCCACAAGTCCATCAAACTGCCCACAGCGCACAGGCTGCTCTCCTTGTCGCCTGCAGAGAGAAAGTGGTCAGCACAGGGCCTGGCCCCGCCCCTGAGAGGTGTCCTTCGTTGACCCCCTCCCCCAGGAAACCACTTCCACGGACCCCCCTGGTGTCCCACAGAGCTCCACCCACTTGACCTCACCGTGCCCTCTCTCCCACACTCACACTTCGCCCTCTGGGGTATATGTGGTACCGGAGATGGTGAATTCATGCAAACTACAGGAGCTTGCCTCTGCTTCAGCTACCACAAACATCTGCAAACACAAGGGCGGGCTCAGGCTGCTGTGGCTTCCTTTCTCTCTGCTGTCAGCTTAAAAAAAACTGTCTGACCAAGGAGGATGTTTGTGGCACCCTCCAGAGTCGCTGAAGGGCCTTCCTTCCTCACTAGAGTGAAGAGTGAGCCCAGGCCAGGCCCGGGCTAGGCACCCTGAGACTGCTGTTCCCAGTGGCATCTGGCTCTCACTGGCCATTTGCTGGGGACTCCTGAGGGTTCTGTGGCCCATTTCTCAAAGCCTGAGATGGCTGCCAACATGACAGGGTCCTGAGTTGAGCAGGATACCTGGGCCCTTGTCCATCTCTGTGTGACCCCTTTTCAAGTATCTAAGCCTCAGTTTCTCTACCAGTAACATGGGGGAAAAGTGGGCCCAGAGCCCAACTGCAAGGGATGAATTCTCTACCTTCAAGGAAGAAACCCATATCTTGCTCTGAGGTAGTTTCAGCCAACCCACAGGTGACCTTAGAGAATGAGCCTCTTGGGGCCTGCCGGGTCATCCGGCCCCTACCTGCACTCTCTCCTACCAGGGCAGCCCATTTCCTAGTCCATCAGCCAGCCGAGACAAGTTCTTACAGCTCATTCTCAAGCCAGTGGTCAGCCTAGCATCTCGAAGCCTAGCATCCCAGACTATGCCTTCCTTCTTGTCCTCTCTGTTCTGGGGTGGTCTTCCAACAAGCAGAGTCAATTACCCAGCATGCTCAGCTACTGTCCCACACCATGCTTCTCAAATCTTTATTTTAGTCAAAGAACACTGAACAGATTAACTCCCACTAGGGATTTCAACAAGTCAGAGGATTCAGGACAGCAGAGCTTGCCCACGCCTCTCCCCTACATCAGGCTCTGATGTACTTCCATGGGGCTGTAAGGTCTCAAGAGTCCTAAGCTAGCCCCTAGGGCCTACTAGGAAGACTGTGGGAGCAATGCAGAAGGGGCCTGACAGGTGGCTGAGAAGGTGTGAAACCTACAGCTGCCACCATCTCCCCAGCTATCTCTCTGCTGAGTCAGAATGGGCCTTCGCCCCTTGGAATTCCAGCCAGAATCCCTGGAACATGTGCACAGTGGCCCCAGGATGTGGGATCAAGTGCCCTGGAATGAATAATTGCTGCCCTGGTCCTTCCCGGACAACTGGAGCCAGCATATCTGGTGACAGGCGTCAGGTGAACAGTCAAGACAGGGACGGATAGAACCTGGGTCCAATGACACGGAGACTGCACTTGACCCTCTTTTGGATCCCTTAAGGTAGTTACCTGGCAGCGCTCATACCTAGGTTTTAGATGAGGAGACTAAGGTCCACAGACTGGAAACGACCTTCCCAGGACACTGCAGTGACACTGGGCCCCAGTGATGTATCTAGACAGGCACTGATACAGTCTGCTTTATACATGGAAGACCTCAGTCTGCAGCTCCCCACCGCCAATGGACAGACACCACACAGGTCTCCATCCCTTACCCAAAAGGAGGTCAGGGAGCCAACCCAGCTGCCCAGCATCACCTAACCCCAGTGGGTCCCAACTCAGCTGCCACTCACCCTGCAGACAGACATCTGATTGGTGGTGAGCGTCCCTGTCTTGTCAGAGCAGATGACTGAGGTGCAGCCCAGGGTCTCCACAGAGGGCAGGCTCCGCACGATGGCATTCTTACGTGCCATACGCCTTGTGCCCAGTGCCAGGCATGTAGTGATGACTGCTGGGAGGCCCTCGGGGATAGCAGCCACAGCCAGGGCCACGGCAATCTTGAAGTAGTAGACTGCACCCCGGAGCCACGATCCACCGTGGGCTGGGTCAGCAAAGTGGCCGATGTTGATGACCCATACAGCCACACAGATCACCGAGATGGCATGGGACAGCTGCCTCCCAAACTCATCCAGCTTGCGCTGCAGTGGTGTCCTCTCAGGCTCCACAGCTGCCATCTGGCTCCGAATCTTGCCCAGCTCTGTGTGCAGGCCTATGGCCACAGCCACACCCAGGGCTTTGCCTGATGCAATATTGGTGCCCTGGCCAGAGAAGGACAAGGAAGTATTGCTTAGCCTCTGGCCAGGGCCGGGAATCCCTGACTCCAAGCCAGAATAGGCTCTTCTGTGTGGCCAGTGTTTCCAGACTTACATAGTTTGGTACTTACTGGATTGTTCTATGAAGGCAAGGGTTTAGAGGGTCACTACATGTCCTGTGCTTAGCATAGTGCCTGGCACAGAGGAGGCTTCAGGATTGATATCAGCCACATGTCTCAAGTTCAACCCATCAAATAGGACTCATAAACAGCCACTATGGCCACATACAGAAAGGAGAGTCCCTGACAATAATCCCAGGAAAGTAGTTTATAAATATTTACTGAAGAATCCACAAGACCTGAGGCTTGGCACTCCCATTCCCTAGGTCCTGGGCAAAAGACCCAACTCCTAGTGTAGAGGACAGGTGGCCTTGTACCCCAGTGTCCTGTTCTGCAACATGCCCCCACAGAGGCCCAAGAGGCTAACTGCCTGGTGCCCCCTTTGGATGGATGTGGAGGCAGGTGATAAGAACACAGGTGCTAGAGATAACTCTGCCTTTCCTTTATGCAGAGCAATGTAGCTTTGCCCCGATAGCTGGCCCCTCCCAAACTAAGACACAGACCCACAGCAAGCCACACGACCTCCGTGTGTCTTATGCCTCCCTCCTCATCCAAGGCAGCTTATCTGCACATGCACTCAGGAAGGGCTCGCTTCAGGAGCTGAGGACCCATGGTGTTCTCCATTCCCGGTCACTTCCAGGGAGCCACCTATGCCTGGGTGTGCTGGGGGCGTGGCCTAGCTGAATCGCAGCTCCCCCTATCGCTTCTGTTACCCTCTCCTGTGCCCTGAGTGTCTTCCATTGAGTGACTTAAGGCAAGCCCTGTCCCTCTCTAGTTGGAAGCACAGTGTCCTAGCAGGAAAGAGAAATCCTTAAGACTCAGATGTGGGAACTTACATCTCAACTCTGCTGCTTATTCACTGTGACCATGGGCAATTGACTTACTCTCTCCTAGCCTGTTTCCTAACACAGATAACAAGATACAAACAGCCTCATTTCAATGGTTTGCTGTGTGGGTTAAATAAACTATCAAGTTTAAAGGACTTAGACCAATGCCAAGAAGCAGGTTTCAGTAAACACAAGCTATTAAGATTACTAAAAATTTGCATGTATTGTTGGTAACCAAGAGATCCATTTCTATAGGACTTTGAAAATGTAAAAAATTACGAGCCAGGAGTTGTGGTTCACACCTTTAATCTCAGCACTCAGGAGGTAGAGGCAGGTGGCTCTCTGAGTTAGAGGCTAGCCTGTTTTACATAGGCAGTTCCAGGACAGCCAGATACACAGCAAGACCCTGCCTCAGAATAAAAATAAATAAAAAATATAATAAAAATGAATTAAAAAATGACAGACAAAAATATTCTTATTACTTTTTCGTGTTGTTGGTGTTGGTGGTGTTGATGGAGGTGATGATGATGGTGGTGATGGTGCATGCATAGGTCACCATGTGAATGTGGAGGTTGGAGGCCAACCTATGGGAATCAGTTCTCTCCTTTCAGCCTGTGAGCTCTGGGGATCAAACTCCGATCTTCGGGCTTGGTGGTAAGTGCCTATATCAGATGAGCCATCCCACCAGTGCTCCTATAGGACTATTGTTAGCTGACTTTCCTGATCACTGTCCTTATGAAAACTGAACTCTTACAAAAGAAAAGAAAAACAAACAAACAAAAACCCTATCCAGGCAGAGCCCCGAGCATCCCGACAACTTACAGAAAACAGCATGTTCTTCTTGTCCTGGTTCACGGCTCTGGGGTCTGGGATGGCGTCTGTGTGCTTGGTCACAGACACAGATTCCCCTGGTGACAGGATGAGGTATGAGAAACCTGGAGACAAGCCCATCACCTAGACCCACCCCCACTCTCCCCGAGCCCTTGGGCCTCACCTGTCAGGATGGACTGGTCCACTCGAAGCGTGGTTGACTTGATCTCAATGAGGCGGAGGTCAGCAGGCACCTTGTCTCCCACTGCACAAGGAGAATGGCATGGCTGAGAGTGGTTTGGGACCCTAAGCTCAGCAAAATCAGAAAGGCTCCCAGAGGCAAGGCTACGACTAGAGGCAGGGCCCTGAGCTATGGCCCTTCAGGCAGATCCCAGACACTCTGGCCACAGTCTCTGGATCTGCCCATCAGGGTTTTGGAAGGTTCCAACAGTCACTCCTCCATAGTGCAAAACAGAAGCAAAGAGAGAAACGAGGTTCCCTGCTGTCACATAGCGAAAGGAGAAGGGCCTGGACATACCCACCTGCCACTTCCACAATGTCCCCAGGGACAATGTCCCGGGCTCGGATCCTCTGCACACCTTTGCGGTCAGAGCGGATCACCTTACCCATCTCAGGCTCATACTCCTTCAAGGCCTCAATGGCACTCTCAGCATTGCGTTCCTGCAGAACATAAGTGGGCAGCTGGTCTCCCTTTGTTGCCCCAGGAGGCCTCCTACTTGACAGAAAAGTCTTTGGGACTAGGAGGGACCTGAAAGGAGAGATGGCCCACCCCCAGCACCTCCCACCTGCCACACTCCCACGATGGCATTGGCCACCAGGATCAGCATGATGACGAGGGGCTCCACAAAGGCAGTCGTGGTCTCTTCACCCTCCTCGAACCAGGCCAGGACCTGCAGGGACAGAGCTGATCAGCCTGGCTGGAGTGTCCCCTGGAATGAGCTCTTTGCCTTTTATCCCCAGAATTCTGTCTGCTCCCTGGGGAAACCTGGACTTAGAGAGGAGGCCTTGGTGGAGGAAGGATGCCCATCTTACAGATGAGTAGCCTTGGCCCTCATCCCACCCAAACCAGCCTTCAAAGGGACAGAGCAGCTGGAGACCCCTCTCTGCCTTCCCTGCTTTCACTGTGGTCCTCAATCAGCAGCCCCAGATGCACCTGGGAATTCGTTAGAACCAAAGTTCTCGAGCCAGCTCAGACATCTGGGCAGAAACTGCTAACAAGTCCTCATGATTGTGATGAGCGCTCATACTGAAGATCCTCCAGTCAGAGGAACACCATTCCCACCACAGAGTCTCAGCCTTAATGTGACTCAGGCCAAGTTCCTTGTCCACTTCTTGGCCCAGCTGGGGACTTGTCACCTCCCTCCAAAGTCCTCAGGGTTCCCATCTGTTCTTTGAAGGGTAAAGGTACTCCTTAGGCTTTGCCATTTTAGACATCTGCGTGGATGGGGTTTTTGTTTGTTTGTTTTTCTTTTCTTTTGTAAGAGTTCCAGTTTTCACAAGGACAGTGATCAGGAAAGTCAGCTACCACTGGATGGGAAAAGCCAGTCCCAGCCAGTACCATGGGGCTCTCTCTACATTCTGAGTCACCAAGATGAAGTCTCCTCCCCAGGAGTAGGAATCATACCTGCCTGCTTTGTATTAGCCTTGTATTTGCTGCTCAGCCTTGGAAGGCAAGCACTGTCTCCCTGCCCACCTACCACTCTGGGCCCAGGACCTGTGGTCCAGAAGGGGTCCAGATAGCAAGAAAGAGGAAGGTATAAAGAAAGAGAAGCCAAGACAGACACTAAAGTCTGTTTGGTGTACCTAAGAAGCCTTCAAAGGAATTTGGCCCCTAAACAGACATCTAGCAATGTCTGAAGACACATTCGATTGTCACTGGAAGGTGCTGCTGGCATCTGACATGTGGCCAGGGATGTTCAGCATCTCAGACCAACCAGAGCCATCTAGTTCAAGGGTGCTGAGGTTGACAGATCCTGGCTAAGGCAGGGACAGGGAGGGCAGGTTTGGGTTTTGAAATCTCCCTGAACCAGCGCATAAGTGGGTTAGAGGAATTCAGGTGGAAGCCAGGAGTTCACTGTGGGACAGCTGAAGACTGGGGAATGTCCCTGACTGAGAGGAGAGCAGCCCAGGGCTCTGAGCACTGGCAGGACCTGGCTCACAGGGTGGCAGGGAAGGCCTTACTTACAAAGGAGACCAGGGCTGCCAGCAGCAGGATGCGTACCAAGAGGTCCTCAAACTGCTCCAGCACCAGCTCCCACAGGGACTTCCCTGGAACAGGAGAGTGTGTGAGGCCCAGGCCCCTGGCCACCCCTCCCACACTGCCCCCATCACTACCTCCACTCAGAACTAGGGACTTTCAGGAACCCCCTCCCTGTTGTTCAGAGGGAAAGCCCAAAGTCCTGAAGGGTCCAGCTGAGGGCTCAGCAAGACCTCTGTCTGGGACTGGGGTATCGCAGCCTGAGGGTACCTAGCTCAGGGTTATTATAGCCTGCAGCCTCCCCAATCCATGCTGCCTCACCTTCCTCAGTAGGGAGCTCTGCAGGATCCAAGCAATCACAGGAACCGGAAGAGGCAGGAAAAAAGTGGTTACTAGTAGGCTCTTCTGGAGTCTGGGAGCCCCTCCCATGGAGCGAGTGCACCCGGGCCCACCATGGCATCTCCTGAGTCCTCCCGGCTCTGAGGTCACAGAATCGGTGTGCAAGCTCGGTGACTCCCTTTACCCCACCCCTGGTAAGTGGTCTAGTGTGGCCTGGCTCACCTTAGGATGAGACCAGAGGGGCAGAGGAGCTTCCGTCCCCACCCCCTTTCACAGAAGTGAAATGGAGGCCTGGAGAAGAGAAAGAAGCCGCGGTCACGGAGTCGGCAGTTCCCGTGAGCCCATCGCACTGACCTTCCTCGTATGGCTGCCAGCCTGGCGGGAGCCTCCTTGCCTTGGCAAGTTCTCAGTACTCCTTGTAAGCCCCAGGGAAAGGTCAGCCGGGAATCCCACCCACCAGCCTCCCTGGACACCCCTCGTATTTCTAGACATCCAGCAACCAGTCATGCTCAGGTCCTCCTCAGGATGCCCCTCGGGACTCCACTCCAGATACACTCAAGGAAGACCGCCCTCACTGTCCAGTCCCGCCCAGCACTATAGACTGTTTTCTCTAAATACCCGCAGCACCTGCATCAGCTTACCTGCCTAACTGCTTTAAAGGGATTATTTTTCGTTTTTATTTTCTTTTCATGTTTTCTGTGTAAGAATGTTTAGCCTGCACTTAATGCGTGCACACCACATCCGTACCTGGTGCCCAGAGCGGCCAGAAGAGGGTGTCAGATTCTGTGGCAGTAGAGTTACAGACATTTGTGTGCTGGGAACTGACAGTCAGTGCTTTTAACTGCTGAGCCATTGCTCCAGCCCTCCTGCCAAACTTCTTGAGCTAATTTCACACCAACTGTAAAATTACTGGCTGGCTGCTCTGGGTAGCTGGGGTCGTTAACTTTGCCCAGCAGCCTCCAGCAGAAGCATGTGGTGTGCCAGGCCCGTTTCCCCGTCTGTCCGTGAGGACCAGAGAGGACAAGCAGCTGAAGCAAAGTCCCACAGCGAATCCGTGTCTGTGTGGAGACGTGTACAGGTGGCGGAACTGAACCCCAGAGTTGCCGCTCTGGTAGGCTCTCCTCTATGGCAGAGACCTTCCCCTGCTGAAGCTGACTGAAGGGCCCCCATGGCCAGTCTTCCTGAACTCTGCCTCCGTCTGCCCCCACAGGCAGCTCAAAGCCTCAGCCATACCTGGGACCCACTCGCAGTACAGATTGGTAGCCTCCCACCCTCCCCTTTCCACTCCCTGACCATGGCCCAGATCCTCACATCTGTCCACCTGTTCTTGGCCCATGGACACTTTTCTCCAGACAGCACACCAGGGAAGTTTAGGGTCTTCACCTGTCAGCTGAACCATGGGCAGCAGCAAGCAGCCTCTGGCCCTCGGGGCTCCGAGAGGGAAACATATAACCTAAAAATACACTTTCTAGCATTTTCTCTAAAGTCCTATTTTAGGCAATGGCTGACATTTTCCACTGAAAATGTAATCTCCAGTGTCCTGCGTTGAGATTAAAATCAAACAGACTTTCCTTTCTGATCTATTTAACTGAAGCGAACAGGAAAGGTGGGGGGGAGGTCCAGGCCCAGTTTCTGGGCCAGTACTCCAATGGCACAGAGTCCCTTAGCGGTCATCTTAGCTATGCCCCTGCATCAAACAAAGCGGTGCCCACCCCACAGCACACGTCAGCGGCCTCTGCTAGGCTCTCCCCAGGAGTCTCTCACCTTGCTAAGTCTCATGGCCACGAGAAGGTCTGTCAGTCTCACCTGACTCTCTCATTCGGCTTCTCTGGTCTTTTGCTCTGAGGCAGGACCCCCACCCCACCCACCCCAGGCTCCATGCCACCTGTGACACAGATTCCACAGCGTTAGGCCTGGGGTTAGGACACTTGTCGCAGGCTCACACACCAGGACTAGTCTTCAGGCTACATTCTGCCTGCCCTAGGGGTGTATTTCTAGTTCCCCCTTTCTACTTGTCTACCTGGATCTCCCCTCGGGCGCCCTGACCCACAGTGACTCACTCTTTAAAAGCCATCGTATTTCCACAAACACTCCTGCTTCTCCCAGCTGGAGGCCACACTGTAACTGTGTGGTTCTCAGCCCATGAGAGTTTCCAAAAAAAAGGATGTGTGCTAGTTCCCAGTTGGCAGGTGCAAGGCTCCCTGGAAGGTCACTGTCCCACAGACCGATCTGTGAAGATGGAAGGAGTTTCTGTTCCATCTGGCATAGCAGTCCCTAGCTACATGTGGACACTGAGACCTGGGAAAGTGGCTCATGTGCCTGAGGGTGACATTTCTAATTTTATTGACTTCATTTAAACTCAAGCAGTCACATGCAGCGGCTAGCTGTTTGTCCCATGGACGACATGGCTGGGATACTGACCCTCGCCTATAGTGGTACTTATCCATGACTCATACAAGCTGCTCTGCTGCCCTTTGTGCATGCGCTTCCCTAGGATTCTCACTCAGTTTGAGGAGATACTGTTATCACTTCCATTTTACAGCACCCGAGAACAGATACACTGTGTCACAACTTCATGACCACATAGCTGAGAAGTATCAGGAACATTTCTACACCCAGGCCATCTGACCCTCAACCTCTGCTCTGGGCCTCCTGTGCTAACCCCTAGGTAGCCCCCACCTTCCTTTCCCGGGTCCCTTAACTGCCCAGTCGAGGCCATCCAAAAGACCTTGGGGTCCTGCATATTTACCTGGGTGCCCATTCCTTTGTAGTGAGCCCGGATCCACCTGCCCAATTACCTGGTCCCAGAGGATCTTCTGTCGTCACAGTTGGGGTTTGGGGGCCACTATATCCTGCCCATTAAAGCCTGGTCTGAAGGACCTGATTGTCTTTCACATGATGGAGTCACAGGGTCACAGAGGAAGCCCGGGACTGGAAGAGTTCCCGGTGAAGGGAAAGATAAGATGCTGGCTTTCCTACCTGCCCCTAGCTGATCCTGAGGACCGGTGTGGTGCCAGGCCTGCCTTGGTTCAAACGTCCTAGTTGCTAAATGGAGGGATGCCTGTCCTGTCCACCACAGTGTTGACAGCTACACAGGATGAAGGCAGTAACCTGGTAGGATCCTACCCCACTGGACTAGCCCAGGCCTGGGATCCCCTGAGTCTCACACAAGGAGACTCAGAACAAGGGAGCTGGTCCCAAGGACATGAATTCACACCCTGCTATGAGTTTTGTTATGCCGAGGCCACCGGCAGGCCCGGAGCACAAAAGCTGTGGTGACAGGGATGCCCCTTGAGGTTGACTGAAGGCAGAGTGATTGGCAGAAAGCTCCTGACAGGGACAGCACAGTCACAGGTATCAGTACAAGCTCCTGACAGGGACAGCACAGTCACCAGGCATTAGCACACTGACAGAGATGGACCATCAACTCCACAGCAGGATTGGTCAATGCAGCATCTCCAGCACCCGGAACAGCGCCTGGCCCAGGGCAGGGAGCCCCACGCAGGCAGGCGCATCAAAGCCCAGGAGCAGCCAGCCTCTGAGGCTTTCCCTGGTCTGCCCAGCATGTCCTTCCACAGTCTCCCCCGATTTATGTGCGTGTATCTCTGCAACCAAGCGAGAGGCTTCATGAGGGCCACCGCCTTCTGTTTTCCTCCATGTACCCTTCTCATCACCTCATCCAGACTGCAAGAAGCCGGGGCCTTTCATTCCAACCTTGTCACTTCACCACTCTTTGACCAGGAATTAAGACTGGGCCTCCCACCACTAGATCTTGGGAGCACCAAGGCTGGAGCCACACTGTGCCCCCTCCCCACCCCCAGGTCATTGTTTATTGAGTGGCTCAGGCCTACTGCCCGTACCCTGGAGCTATGGAGCAGAGGGTGCAGAGCCAAGTGCACCGCTGGGCTGCCCCCTCACCCCATCCTGGGCTCCACACACCACCTGCTCCTCTAATTTCCCCCTCCAACTCCTTCCTTCTCTCAACACTGAAAACTGGAATTTCGGCTTCTAAATGTCAGTTCCAGCTGGGAGAGGCGGGCACTCACCAAGGTCTTCCTCCAAGGCAAATTTACAGAGCAATTAAATTGTCACTTGTGGAGGCAGGGAGAGGCTCTAGCCAGGCAGAGCCCGCCCAGCCCACCTGGCTCTGCCCTGTCTCCAGGGTCCACCTAGAGTGGATGGCCTGGTCCGGCTCCGAGGGGGACCACTCAGGGGGTCAGGAAGAAATGGCCCCAGTGCCGCAGGGGACACACCAGCCTACCCAGAGCTGGTGCTGAAACGTTTGCCACCACCTGTGCGTCTTGCCACATCACAGGGAAGACTCCATCTTGCTCAGGGCACACCGGCTTTCAGCTGGGAAGGACTTGACAGATCTCAGTAAGAGCCAGGAGATGTGACGAGGAGGGCGAAGCCCAAGGTGGCTGCAGGTAACCTAGCACCCAGCAGAAGCAGTTTCAGGCCCTGAAAGGCACTTAGCTGACAGGGGCAGGCCTAACTCTACCATGCGGAAGACACTGGGACCAAAAAGGGGCAAGTATGCCAGAGGTCATCCAGGGTGTGAGGCCACACCTGCCCCGTCCTCATGGTTTCTGGGGGTCATACACATGGGTTTCCCCTGTTTGGTGTCAAATGGGGCCTGGGCTGAAAGCAGGAAACAAGGTCACAGCCAAGGCCCTGCTGAGCCCTCCTGGGATTTCTCCTGACCCAACATCCTCAGCTCTCAAGGGTCCGCAGGGGTGGGTGTTTGTGTTAGGATGAGCCTAGCACAGTCTAGTCTCTGGCCTTGGTCTACGCTGTTTAGGGACAGACAGAAGTCAGACGGCTTCTGAGCAACCAAAGATGCCGAACCTGACTTGAAACAGAAAAAAAAAAATGCAAGGAAAGCTATAAGAGGAACTTTCCCATCAGATGAGCACAGTCAAATGTGGACTTTGACACCACTGTCTGGGTGACAGAAGCAGGCAGGTTGACTGCTTCAGCCCATGGGCAGTGACTCAGCCACAGACCCTACACATGGAAAAAGACTCCTGTTTTGCTCACCAGTTCCTCTAGGAGCTTGTCCTGAAATGCCACCTGTAGTGGTGACATGATGTGGGGATGGAGGGCTCCTAGTAATACTGCGTGGACGAGCAAAGACCACGAACCACCCAGCCATGAGAAGTGTGCTGAAGAAACGGAAGCCTGCCATGATGAAACCTGTGCAGCCATGAGGGAGCCCAGGGCAGCTCAGTAGTCGTGTCTAGGAGCTCTAGCCAAGAGGACCACCACAGCCAGACTGCCTCTGTCCCTGTGAAAACAACCCTGGACCCTAGACCCCATGCACACCCCATGTGTATCCAGGAAGGGGGCTGGTGGCTGGGGATAGAGTTGGGGTGACTTTACTGCATACTATTTGTACCCTTTGAAGATTATACTTTGTGTAACTTTTTATTTAAAAATAAATTTAGAATTAGGGGTGTAGCTCAGTGGTTAGAAATCTAGCCTGGCCTGTGTAAGGCCCTGGGTCAATCCTGAGCACAGTTAAAACAAAAACAAAGCACCATCAGACCGAGCATGGTGGCACAGGCTTAAAACCCCAGCACTCGGGAGGCTGCCCCTGGAAGAACCAAGCTCCAGGCTAACAGGGGTATGGGGGCTGGTGCTGTTTTCATGTGTGTTGGACCTCCCGGCTGGTCTGTGCGAGGCTTCTACCCAACTCTGAGGTTTTCTGTCAGGGAAGGGAGGGGGGAGTCAGGAGGGTGAGGTTCCCCAGTGCCCCCACCATTTCTCCACCCCAGGCAGAATTTGCAAACTTTGAGGAGTTAAGCAAATGACTTCCTTGTGGTTTCCAGCACTAACGACTTTGCAGGTGCATAGCTGCCTATGGTAGGGGGAACACTAGTCCCTGGGGTGTCCCCTTTGCCTGTACACCCTGCCCATCCTGTCACCCAGCCTCTGGCCCAGAGCCCAGCCCCACCTCCTAGTTCCAGGGCAGGATGACTCTATGTAAGTGACCTCACTCTGGACAAACAACCCTGGCATGGGTCCTACTGTACCCTCATAACACAGAAGTCAAGGCAGAGCGTCTAAGTGGCCTGCTTAGGGCAAAGCAGAGCTAGGGTATTTACCCCATCTGCTGCACTACAGCGGCCGAGCAGAGGCTGGAGGATACCCAAGCTTCCCCCACAGGCAGGGAGAAGCAGCTGGTTCCCCTCTGCTCACCTGACAACTTCCAGAACCCTGGGCGGCTTCCTGAGGAACAAGCCAGTGATGGGAGGGACCCGGAGGACCGAGGGATGAAGCAGGAATAGCTGCTGCCCAGACAACCCCAACACCTAGCACAAGCACCGGCACCGTGGGGAGGGGGGAACAGAACCTGTGTCTGTCCGATACAGTCAGGAAAAACTGAGGCCTACCTAAGGAGAAGCCCCACTGCCGACCCAGACACTGACTGTGACCTTGGCAGGTCACTTGAGTTTCTAAGCGTCTCATTCACCTCCTCAGTGAAACGGGCGACAAAGTCCTTACTTCCTAATTGTTCAGAAGAAGAAATGAGTTAACTGATGAGAAGCATGGAAAGCAGTGCCTGTCACAACTGCTCAGTGAAGTAGGAGCTTTTATTAACACCATCAAAACAGAGGCACCTGAAGCACCCCTACCAACCTGTCCTACCACGCATGCCCTTACACACCATGCCAAGCCAATAGCCTCCGCCAGTCACACTCCGACACCCTGAGACTCCATCACCAGACAAGACTACTTGGGGTGAGGAGGCTGGGGCGTCCTCGCTCTCAGTATTGCCTCTGCTGGACTAATGACGGCATGAGCCAGAAAAGACAGCAAACTAGGCCAGAGCCCTCAGGGGACAGAATCTGTGTGACCTGGGACAGAGCTAAAGGTTGAGCTTCCAACTTCATATGGGAACCAAGATCCTAAGCTGGAGGCCACAGTCCCATTAAAGAGACCGTAGACCCCAGGTCTGCCTTCCGCTCCCTCGGGGTCAGGGGAAGACCCTGCTTCCTTGCCTTCCTTCAGCAGACACCCTCACTGCCAAGTCATTAATGGAGGATATTAAATAATATTTATCTCCTAGTTCCTCCCACAGCTCAACTAAATATAGCAACTAATTTTTTTGAAAAAGGATTTCTGTTCCAGAAAGATAATATTTACATAAGAGGTGGTTTTCATAAACCAATACAAACCCCAAAGCAACCTTTCTGACAGCTCTTCCTAATTTCCCAGCCTGCCCTGAGCAGAGGGACAGCCAGGCCAGAGCATGGCTCGCTCAAGTGCCTGGCAACTCTAAAGGGTAGGCCCTCTAAAAAGATACAAGTTTGGAATGGGTGGGATCTTCTCTCTCTCTCTCTCTCTCTCTCTCTCTCTCTCTCTCTCTCTCTCTCTCTCTCTCTCTCTCTCTCTCTCTCCTTTCTTTCCCTTTCCCCTCCCTCCCTCTCCTATAGGTGCTATGACCCTGAGGCAGGAATGACAGGTCCTGCTCACAGGGACACTGCAGGGAACCTCTATATGTCCACCCCCACCTCCATGCTCCTAACAATGTGTGGGCCACATCTGGATGCAGTCTACTGGCACTGGTGAGACTTTGGCAGGAAGAAAACCCAGTGCTCCTCGAGGGAGGTGAGGAAGCCATTGCTCTCCCAGAAAACTTCAAGGGTCCATGGGCTCCCTCCATGCCCACAGATGGGCAGGTACCACTCCAGACCACCAACTGGGGAAAAGACTCCTCTGGGATCTCCTCCAGACCTCCGGCCTGCCCCTTCAGGAAGGTGGGTCTTTGCCCCAGCAGTTCAAACCCACATCAACCCCCGCCAGCCACATCCGCTTGGGGTTGCAGAAAGAGGAAGACCTGGGGCTGGGAGTAAGAGCACCAAAGCTGACAGCTGACAAGATGCGCCTTTTCGGGCGTCTTATTGAACCTTCCGGGGAAGACATCGGAGTCAGCTGAAAGGCTGGATCCGGAGACCCTGGCTAGCATGTCTCAGAGTGCGCACCTGCAGGGTGCCAGCAGATTGCACAGCAGCGTTGGCGCGGGCATTCAGCGAAGCCCTCGGACACCATAGGTGAAGACTTGCAGGGGTGCATAATGACAGGGGGGGCGGATCCTGCCGCTCCCCATGAAGGAGGCCGCGGGGCCCCGCCAGGTGCCCCACTAACATCTGCGAAGGCTTACGGAGCCCCAGCTTCCTGCCAAGAGCCGGGAGGGGGACAACCGCTCCCCACCGCGGGGCAGGGACCCGCGCTCACCGTTGGGGCCGTAGCGCTTCCGCGCGTCGGTCACCTGCTCCGGGCTCAAGCCTCCCTCGGCTGTCACCGAGAAGCGGCGCAGCACGTCGGCAGCCGGGAGCAGGTGCGCCTCCTCCATGCTGCCCGCCCAGCCGTCCGCGACGTCCAGGCCGATTCTCCTCGGAGCTACTGCCCGGGGTGCTGAGGGCTTGGGCCGGGGCGGGCACTTCGCGAGGCCATGACCGCTCTGGGACCTTCCCCGACGGCAGTGGCTGAGGCGGCCCGGCCCGCGCCAGGATGCTGCGCCCCGGGCTCCGTCCCCTGGGCGGGGCGGCGCGGGACCCGCCCCCGCACCCACACCCCTTCCGGCCGCCCCCGCAGCCACCGCCCCGCCCCGCCCCGCTGCGGGGACGGAATCCCCGCCAGTTCTACCGAACCCGGCACTGAGGCTGCAGCCCGGGAGCCTCGAACCGGTCTGCAGTGTTAGGGTGCGTGCAGCTGGCGTGTAAGCCGCCTCTCGATGCCCTAGGGGAGGAGCAGGGCTGTGCAAACTGTCTCTGTCTGTAGAGTGGCGTCTCCTTCCCAGCTCCACTTCAGCGCTGCGGACCCTGGATCTGGCGGGAAGCAGATGCTGTGCACTAGTGGGTCTCCTGCAGAGGAAGCCACCTGATGCTTTCCTCGGGTGCTGAATGAGTGCGCTTTATTTTTCCCAAACATTCTGCGATGAGCGCTCATTGCTCACGCGCCCGCATCTCTAAGACCCTAAGAGAGATCCAGTGGAGAAGAAAGGTAAAGAGCACCAGGCTGTTACCTACCACTCAAGCGGTTTCCCGCCGGTGAGTGGGGGAATCCAGAGAGGTCCTCTGCGAGCAGGAGCGAGGCAGAGCGGTTTCCTGCTTAGGGTGCCCGGCAGAAGTGACCTTGGCTGAAGAAGGGGCGGGGACAGAGGGAACCTCCTGTGTCAGCACTGCCAAGGAGTGCCAACCGGTTGCAGGCCAGAGGAAGTGGGGGAAGGCAGAGACCACTCACCTCCCAAGAGGGGGAGCCAAGAGAACAGTGTGGTCTCATCACCACCCTCACCTCGGGCTCTGGACGCCGTATGATCTGTGGATCACCAAGGCTGCCAAAATGGTGCTTCTTGGCACCTGGGCCCCACAGCACCCTTGCAATTTGAAGCTTCCGGTCTGCCTGACCTGGGCACCCCGGGGCGGGTTCACCCTCTGTTTCCACTTCTCTATGCCTTCAAAATATTCAACAGTGAAGAAGACAAGGGCAGGTTGGGCCTTTTTGTAGCTTTTGAAGACTGTGACATCAGCTGGGTCTCAGCTGGCACAGAGATAAACGAATACTGTTTTTATGGCTGCATCTCCTTCCAACTGACATTTCATTTGTTTACTTTGGGTTTTTTGAGACAGGGTCTTGCAAGGTAGTCCAGGCTGTCTTCAGATTCTTGGCAATCCTCCTGCCTCAGCTTCCAGAGTGCTAGGATTACAAATGTATGCTACCATGCCGGAGCTCCTATTGTGACATCTTAAGTTTCAACTCCAATGTCCCCAGGTATCTTCCTTCATCCCTTTCCCTCTGACCAGGACAGTACATGGATAATCTCTCTATCTGTAAATTGCTAGGAACCTTGTTAGGATTCTGCTGGAGACAGAGCCAGCCAGGGATAGTTCCCCACTAAAGATCTCGCTCCCTGAGATATGGAGCTGTAGACATCCCTCCTTCCTCCCAAACACACACCTCCTCTGCCAGCCTCAGGGCCATTAACCCCAAGCCTCTCCCATTCTCCCCATCCACAGCTGGGAGTTGGTGTTTGCTAGAAGGCAGGGCCTGGAGACCTGATTGTTTGCTCTGACAGCCCCGCCCCTTTCTCCAGCCCACTCCACCCTGTCTTCAAACCACACAGGCAGAGCAGGTGAATACACCTGTCAGTGTGCCCCACTTGCTAAGCTGGCCTCATCAGGACTTCTGAGCACCCCTCCAAACTTTCCCTGAGTCCCACAGAATCATTACATATTCTGACTCTCTGTCCCTCACCTCTGTGTTCCCAATCATGTCCTCTGACTGCACTTAGACAGACAGCTTGAGGCTAGGGTGACATGGTCACTAGCAGGCTGTCCAAAGGGCAATTCTGTCCTCCTACTTCCCAGCAGCTGTCATGGACTCACAGCTCCAGGCCTATCTAGACCCAGATTTTTCTAACTCTCCTACAGGGCAGATAGTGGCAATTTGCCAGCAGGATCTCGCTGGGCTGCCTCACGTGAGGGGCCAGGACAGGCAGGAGGAGACAGGTGTTCCCTGGGAGAGTTTGGACACATGAAGAGGGTGTTGCAAGCGGTCACAAGCTGTTTGAATTAAATGTGGGAGACATTAGCCTTGTGGAGTAGACAGAGATCCAGTTCCAGCACAGCTGCAGCATGGGAGCAGAAGATGGATATCTGGAAAAATGACCAGGAGACTAAGCTTGGACTCTAAACCTTGATTACCCTGGTTCCTATCCTGAAGGTTTTTAAGCAATGAGAGACAGGATCAGATTTGCCTTCTAGAAAAATCTTCTGTGGGGGCAAGGGAAAGTGGAGTCACCCAAGCCAGAGTTTCTGCTTCAGCTTGCTGGGTAAGGGTCAGACCTAGGAGAAGGCAACAGGCTGAGGTAGAGAGAGGAGTCATTGAAGGTCAAGTGGATGTTAGGGGCCTGAGGTAGCTAGGGGAGGTGTTGAAGAACAGTTCTGTATTTCGGACTGAAGAGAAATCCTGGGAGGCAGCTTAAGCCACCTGTATACTGCCTACACACAAGCCACCTGTATACCCTCTACACACAAGCCACCTGTATACTCCCACAAGCCATCTGTATCCTCTCCACACACAAACCACATGCATACTCCCCACAACAAACCACCTGTATACCCCGCAAGCTACCTGTGTACCCACACACACAAGCCACCTGTATACTCCAGGTACACTCAAGCCACCTGCATACCCTCCCCCACAAAAGCCACCTGTATACCTCCCCTCACAAGCCACCTGCATACCCCCCACACACATAGCCACCTGTATGCATCCACTCACACACACCAAGGAGAAGAGAGGCCCAGGCCTAACAGTACAAACAGGGTGAACTGGGCCAAGTAGCTTGTTGCCTTAGGCCAGAAGTCATACCGGGAGGGGACTGAGATTGTGTTCAGACCAGAGTCCACAGTGCATCAGGCTCAGTGTCGCCTCAGCAGGAGAGCAAGAGAAAGTCAAGTGTGGGTGAAGCAGGGAGCTGAGCAAGGGAGAGGCAGTGGGGAAGGGAGACAGTGGGGGAGAGAGTGTGTCCACCCGTTGCATGGAGGCCCAAGGTGATGTTTCTCTATTTGTGATGTGTCTGTATTGAACAGATTTCTGGAGCTTTGTAGTCCTTTTCTGGTTTGCTTTTGGAGGCAAGGAGCTATGTGTGACTAGGTAGAAGTCCACCTTCAAATCTGGGCTCTGCCTCTTCTAGGCGGTGTAGCCTTGGGCAAGGTGCTTCACACCTCTGAGACTCACTTTGCTCATGGGTAATTGTCAGGGTAAACCAACTGCCACAACCAAGTCAGCCCAAATAAATACATCGGGGATACAGTCTACAAACGTTTCCTTCTAACGGTGTAGAGTGTGCAGCCTACTGAACACGCAGCAGGGTGGTGACACCGAGACCCAAACTCTTCCCTCTTTGTGGCTCTGTTTTCTTCACTTGGTGGCAAGGCCACCACTCTAGCTTCATGGAGCCAGGGAGGGAGGAAAAATATGGCCCCAGCCATAGGAGGCTTTCATGAGCCAATTCTGGTGCTGTCATTTCCTCTGCAAGGCTGCAGTTTGGTCACATGGCCCCACCTGTCTGCAAGGGGAGCTGGGAAATGTAGTCCATGCTTAGAAAGAAGGAGGAAGGAGGAAAAGATAGTGTTCTTACCCACACATGGGCATAATGGCCCACTCCCAAGTCCAGGAAATGGACCCTAATCAGCGTTCTGTCTTCCTCAGTTTTAATTCTGGGACTCTTCCCTTCCCTGTCCACTCTCTGGCTGCCCCAGAAATGATCCTGTTTCTGAGATCCAGAGACCAGGGCATGACTGTCCTAGAAAATGAGACAACCTGTAGTTCCCTGGCCAGAGGATTGGCTCAGAAGTAGCACTGACTAAAACTCAGCCAACCGGATATACTGACTTGGACTTTTTGTTAAAATATTGGGGAAAGTTCCAGGACAGGCTCCAAAACAATACAGAGAAACCCTGTCTCACAAAACAATACAGAGAAACCCTGTCTCACAAAACAATACAGAGAAACCCTGTCTCACAAAACAATACAGAGAAACCCTGTCTCACAAAACAATTGGGGAAAATATTTTTACTCTTCAGCTATTGATGGCCGGCAGCCACCTTGTCACCACAAGGGTGGCAGCACAGACAAACGCATAAACTTAGCATTCAGAACACCTGAGGCAAGAGGATTGGGAGTTGGAGGTCAGCTGAGGTACGCAAAGTGAGGCAGGAGACAGGAGGAAGCGGCCCCAACAGGAGGAGTGGGAGTATCTCTGGGCTGAGCTGTACTTGGCTGGTAGAGCACTTGTCTGGCACATACAAAGGCTGGCTTTGCTTCCCAGTGCTGCAAAGAGTGTATTTACCAAGAGGTGGGTCTCTGATGGAGCTGTAAGAGCACCTTCATCTGCCAGAGCTCGGGGGTCAATGAAATCCCGGGTTGGGGGGAAGTTGGGGTTTCTGTTATTTGGAAGAAGAAGGCTTGCTTGGGCTTTGGTAGCATTAGAAGCTAACTGTTGGGTGGGGAACCAGGATGTGTTCAGTAGAGACTTACTGAAGTTAGTTAACCAAAACTATGATGGGAATGGCTGAGGAACCTGTGGTGGCCATTAGTGCATAGTTCCCAAGGAGGGAGATGAAAACATGCTTCCTGGAGAGAAAGGGCCTCCACATAAGCCCTGTGACTGGCACCAGGGCCACACGCCAGTCCACTGCTTTCTCTCAAATGCATACAGTAGCCCTGCTTCCCCCCCAGAGCTCCAGGCCCATGGCCTGAGATGGGAGGAGCTTCCATACTAGGCAGGGAGATGTCTGTCATCAGAACAACTGAGGAGGACCTGCACCATGAGCCAGGATCTGCCCCCTATCACCCAGGTAGTGTAGTGCATTCCTGCAATTCCTCAGGAGACTGGGGCAGGGGGTTCTTGAGTCCAAGACCAACCTCCTGCTGTGTCTTATAAAACCAAACCAAACAAATACCCCTGGGCTTGTAGACTTGAGAACATTACCCATTACC